TTAAAACCTCAAAACACACAGCAACTTCTAACTGATAAATAAAAGCATTCCTTTTCAAATCAGAGATGCTGCCATCACTGTTTTTATGGAAAGTCAAACAGAAGTCCTAGCTTAGAAAGTATAGCAAGAAAAAAGAGGAAAAAGTTTGCACATTAGATTGAAATATATAAAATTGTCTTTACAGATATGATTGTTTTCTTTGAAAGCCCCCTAAACCCTATAAATAGATAACATCACTAATCATCATGGAAATCAAAATGCAAATCAAAACCACAATTACATACCACCTAACACCAGTCAGAGCTGTTACCATCACAATATGAACAAATGTGTTGGTGAGGATGTGGAGAAATAGAGTCCCTTGTGCGCTGTTGGTCTGACTGAAAACTGGTGCGGCCACTATGGAAACAATATGGAGATTCCTCAAGAAACTAAAGAGAAACAATACGACCCAACAATTCCAATTCTGGGTATTTATCAAAAGAAAATGAGAACACTAATTTGAAAAGATATATGCACTCCTATGTTCATTGTAGCATTATTTACAATAGTCAAGATATGGAAGCAACATAGGTGAACATCCATACATGAATGGATAAAGAAGAGGAACAAAGCAATTACAAAAGAGGCATCTATTATAACAAGCTGATATGCATTTGAAGAGATCTCAAATTATTAGAGGTCAGAAAAAATGCAAAATAAAATAGTAATGAGGTTTTTAATTCCCATTCTCTGCCAAATTTGTCATTTTCCATAGGTCTAATTTTTCCCAACCTCTACACACTGTTACTTATACTGGTTATTTGGGAGAACTCTTGGCACTATGTAGTGAAGTTAATTATATTCATATTCTATGATCCAGACATTCTGCTCCTAAGTTTATACACCAAATAAATATTCACACTGTCCACACTATGATATCATTAGTGTTATTTTAGTGGCAATGAGTTAGAGGTATTTTGGGTTCCAGTCAGTGAATAGAGAGAAAAATAAGGTAGATATACACCTCAGTAGAGCATTAATTAGAACCCACAGATTAGAGGTACACAGCCACCTGGATGGATCGAAAAGTCTAATGCTAAGTGAAAAAAGGAAAGAAACAGGGTGGGTATCAAACCTTTTAAACTCTCTTTCATACAAAACCTAAAAGAAAAAAATTTCAAAATATAACAAAAAGGGAAGAAAATTAAAATCACAAAATTTCACAGCATGGCAATTTTAGTCTACAAATGCAAAATGAATAATACCAGCGTGGCTCTATTCTTTAAAAAAAAAAAAAAGGATACAAAGGCAGGCTCATCCCTCTCATTTCCATAAATTAAAAATATATGCACAGAAAACAATAGTACATATTATATAGGAATACAAACAAAAAGACCTTAAATAAACTCAACCTCATGGGAAGTAGGATTGGGGTCAGTCTAGTGGTGATGGTATGCCATAAATGAAGTAGGACTGGAACAACTCTCCTCTGTACTCAATGTTCAGAAAAAGGGAACAACACCACATCAAGTACATAGGAATATCTCTAACCTAAAAATGTGTATGACATTTGTAAAGAAAATGATAAGATTTTACTATAAGACAAAGATTTAGAGGATCTCAATAGGAGAAAAAAACAGGGAGTAGATAGGGAAAGCTATTACTAAAAGGTATCAAATTTCCCTCAATTGACAAATACATTAACGAGGTCCTCCCTCACTCAATCCAGCATAGTTTTTCATAGAACCTGACAAGCTAGTTTTAAAACTCAAAGAGAAAAAAAGAAAAGCCAAGGCTCTCTTACAAAACAAGTTTTTAAAAGGTGATGTCAAGACATAAAAGTTTAGCAATTAAGACAAAATGATATCTCAGAAATAGACCCACACAATGGAAATTTAAAAGATGACATATTAGCATTGTGGATTAGTAGGAAAATAAATTATTTTCAATAAATGGTTGTTAGAAAAAAATTAAACAGAAAAATCCCACAGTTGGATCCTATTTACCACATAAGCAACTTCCCTTCCCCTAATCCTATAAAACATCACCACCACAAATCAGTTCCAAAGACCTTTAAATCTATTTAAAAAACACAAAGGAAATGGAGAAAATTTCTTAAGGAGCTCATACACACCAGAGAGATGATGAAGAACTATAAGTCATTGGAAGATATAACGTAAAAAGACCACAGCTGCCATTCATATAATTAGCAGAAAAAGGAGTCACCAAAAATATTTTAAAAATTCTCAAAAATCGACAAAACACAAACAATAGAAAAATGTACAGAATTCATAAATGAGTATCACAGCTGAAGAAACTCAATTGCCCAATATACATATAAAAGTATGTTCAATTCCTATTAGTAATTAGAGAAATTAAAATGCTGATGAGATCTCATTTTATACCTTTCAGACCATCAAAAGCTGAAGGATTGAAAAATATCAAATGTGGTACACAAAACTGGTGATAAATCAGTAGAGTCATTTAGGCAAACGGTTTGGTGTAAGTAAGTAAAAGATGTGCTTTTCTTATGACCCAGCAGTTTTCCCCTGGAATACATTCTAGAGAAACTCTTTTGCTCCAGGAGACATGAAACAATGGTAATAGCAGCATTGTTTATAACAAAAACCTGGACAGCTCAGCTGCTCATCCTCAGGAAGAATGGATAAATGGTGCCATACCCACACCATGAACAACAGTTTAGCAGTAAACATAAATGAACGAGGTTACACTTCCTGAAATGGATGAATCCAAGAAACATGATGCTGAGTGACAAAGCATTTATAGAACATATACATTAACATGGTAAATGTTCAGAAACAACCAAAATTAAATGAAGTTAAGTATACACATGTATACTTATATAAAGAAATGATAGACACAAAATTCAGGGAACAGAAAGCAAACAAAGAAATACAGAAGGGGCACAGTAACCCTGATAAGGGAGGAGTCCAGGTGTGATTAAAATCCTGTGTGTGGCAATTACAGAGGCTTTACCTGGCAGGCCTCACAGGGGAGAGGTGCCGTCCCGCCCCAGTCTTGGTGGATGGCAGGCCAGGGCATATCATCTCTGAAAGAGTTGCAGTTAAGTCCCCCTGGCCACTGATGCTCATTCACATAGTGACATCCTAGTCCCAGCGCCTGCATTCCTACTCAGGTCCTTTATGTGAGGTCATGGGCAGAGGGCTTCTCCAGGCACCTCTGCTGAGCTCTCTTTGCAGGGGAGAAGGGGGAAACCTTGAAGACATTTTTTCTAATTCTTAGTACCCAGGACTTTCCTATTCCTAGCCCTTCTGATTTGCCACCCCCTCATCCCCACTAAAACTATCCCCTAGAAACAACAACAAAAGCCCTTACAAACCTCAGGGTCCATAAAACTGCCAGTGCCTTTGGATCAGAACTCCCTCAGCAGTGAGGTGATCCCCACCTCTGTGCTGGTCCACCTGGGCTTGGACCAGGTGTGGTTCCAGCAGGGAAATGGAACAGAGGGAGGGGGTTGTTGGAAGGGGAGACTTGGCATTTCCTTTGGTTTCAGACTCCGGCTTATTGCATGGCACCAAGGGGTTAAAGGTTTAACTCTCTCAGTTTGACTGAGCCTGGCAGCTGGGCTCCCCCTGAGCTCCTAACAGTAACCTATTGCTTGTTAGGTTATGTAATAAAGCTACTTTGAACCTCCTCCATAAAAACTTGAGTTCTGTGGAACTCCTGTGTGGAGGACAAGATGAAACCACGAAAAAGTACTTTAAATTATAGTGTCAGCACCCACAAATACAAAAAGATGGAGGAAATTATGGCTGATCACAAAGGCTCTTCATTCTTTTTTTTAAATTTGGGTGTATGGTGGAAGGTAGGATACAAAAGAATATTTTAAAACAAATAATTCATATTATAAATTTTCTCCTCTTTAGTATGAAATCCCTTAAGTAAGACTGATTTTTCTTACATTTGATTTCATATTCGGGGCAAAATGTGATACATTTAAAATATTTTTATCCCAATTCTGTGGATAATGAGTTTCTACAGATACTAATCACTTTAAAATATATGTGCTTATATAATGTCCTTAAACTTCTTTCTTCATTCAAACGACTGTATAAAGTTATATTTGATCCTTAAACTACTTTCTTTAAACCTTAGGGAATTTGTAAATCAGTTTATTTTATTACCTCAAGACTTCAGGCTCTGCTTCTTTCTTTTTTTGGTTGATGTCCTTGCTGTGTTATTATCCATCTTCTTTACAAAAGTCCCTCCCATTCCCTGAAGATCACAGTTCTCCATATCCCACATCCAACCCTTCCCACCCAGACGCTGTAATATCATCAAGGACAAGTACTAAAACTGCACAATGGATCATTCTCTGACATAACATGGTTTTATAAAAGATGAAATTATATTTTAAATTCATATTGTATGATCATTTGTTACTGTGTAAACAGTAAGAAATTCTCAAAGGTGGAAAAGGTATTATAGATTGCCTTGCCCTTATTTTGATAATTCCTTCTATCTATGTAGTGCAATTAATTATAATTTAGAAAGTGCTTTCACATTAGCTCATTTGATTCTTATAACAACTCCATTAACTAGACAGGGCAGACATAATTATTCCCATCTAACAGATCAGAAGACAGAAACAAAAGAAGTTTCAATGATATCCCTACATCAAACAGACCTAAACACAGAGACCGGTCTTCCCAGTCCACTGCACGCCTCCGAGACAAGGCTCTGCCACTTCCTACTTGTCCTAATGTTGTGAGACAACTGTAAGTATTTCATTACCTACACATTAAACATTACTGACCACAGGCAAAGTAAATTTAATGAGCTTCTCCCAATTATTGCTCATATTGCATAGTCTGCATTATCTTCATACGTACGCCTGTAGCTTTCAGCAAAATCCTTATAATTTATCAATTCAGAAATATGTTTCTGGTAACATTGTTAAGACAGGAAGAAAACAGCTTTAAAAAGAAAGCTTGTACAAAGTTAGCAGACCTTTAGAAGAAAATTAGTTCCCTTACCTCCAAAAAGATGGAATGCTTTCTTTCTGCAGCTCGGTAGGGGCCACTTTGCAGAGCTGGATTTCTGAAAGCTCTGTTTTATTTTCAAATATTCTTTAGTGAAGAATGTTTTTGTGGCATTGTTCAGTTCTGGAATAAAGCAAAAGCAAACTATTTTTAAAGTTTAATTTGAGTAAAATGGCAAGGACACAAAAATAATTGTTGTAGCATTTTGGTAATATAGTCATCTCTTTAAGACAGTGAAGGCGAAACTAGAATCAATTTTCTTTATAAGTCAAGCCAAACATAATTCTCCCAAATTAACATTTGTGGCAACTTTGATTATGTCAACATAGGACATGCAGCTACTGTGAAGCTTCTACGCCAGATAATCAGATACTCGCCAGACGTGGAGGATGCAGCGATGGATAAAACATATCTCCTGCCCTCAAGAAGACTGCAGACTAAAAGATGGAAATAGAAGGCACATAAAGGAAGGGGGAAATAATAATGTGTTAGGGATGTAGCAATAGGATAGCTAGAGTCAAATCATGTGAGACTCAGGAATGATCATGGTTGGTTGAATCTGCAGATGCAAAACCTGCAGATGCAAAACCTACTGAGTAGGTGATGTTTTTAAAAAAAATCTTCAGAGCAAATGCAATATCAGCTTTTCTAATATATCCTTTAGGAGAAATCACATGAAAAATTCCCTTTAAAGTGCCAGAAAAACCTTTGCTCACCTTTAGGAAATGTGTTTCTTTTCATGAATCATGAGAATCATTTAATTGTGTACATACTTTTAATTTTCTTTAGGCAGCCAGATTATTTAAAACCAAATAGTTCATATCTAATGGTAGTTATAATGTAGGGCCATATGGCTTATTTTTCAGCCCATCCACCCTCACCTGGTCTTTATGTTCCATTTATTACATTCCCTTGTGCTGCTATTTCATTGATTATATCTTTTAAGGCACCTCAAATTCTTTTGAGGTAGAGTATAAATAATTAAGATGAAAAGTCCCTTTATTACTGACAGCTTCTATATTACAGTACACAACCAAATACTTATTCCAGTGGAATATGTATTCTCAATATGATTTATATTAGAGAAAAACTGATTTTGAAAATAAAGGTAATTATAGCTTTGTTGTTTGATAAATGAATCAAAAGATACTTGAATCATAATTGCTTTAAGATGTTAGGGAAAGCAATTTTAAAATAATTATCAGTGTTAAATTAGATCATGAAAGGCGGGACAACATCTGTCTAAATTGCTGTGTAAATGGTCTAAAAGCTTCTTACTAAAACAGGCTTCTAGTAAATGTTTTCTTATACAGATAGCCAGAGATAATACTGAGAAAGGGATGTCACTGGTACCTTCACTTCTTTTGCCCCAAAAACCCCAACAAGGGATCTGGTGTTAGAAAAGAACCACTTTCCCTACATCAATACAAGCCAGAAATGAGGAACCTCCAGTGAGTTCCTGCCCTCTCATGGAACTGCTTTCTTTACTGTCTCCATCCTTTACTTGTTCTTCCCAAGAAAAGAAAGAGCGATCTGCCCATTATGCACAGCAAAAGAAACCATCAACAAAACAACAAGAAAGCCCATTGCATGGGAGAGCATATCTGTCAATGTTATCTGCGATAAGGGTCTAATTTCCAAGTTTATAGGGAATTCATACATCTTAACAAAAGGAAGATAAATAGTCCAATCAAAAAATGGGCAAAGGATCTAAACACTTTTCGAAAGAGGACATATAAAAAGCCAAAAGACATATGAAAACATGTTCAAAGTCACTAATCATCTGAGAGATGCAAATCAAAACAACAATGAGGCACCATTTCACACCTGTCAGAATGGCTACCATCAACAAACGACAAGTGCTGGTGAGGATGTGGAGAAAAAGGAGCCCTCGTGCACAGCTGGTGGGAATGCAATCTGGTACAGCCACTGTGGAAAACTGTATGGAATTTCCTAAAAAAAAAAATTAAAAATAGAACTCCCATTTGACCCAGTATCCCACTTCTAGGAATATATCCCAAGAAAACAGAAACACCAATCAGAAAGGATATACGCACCGCTCTGTTCATAGCAGCACAATTTACCATAGCTAAGAAAGACCTGGAAACAGCCTAAGTGCCCATCAGCAGATTAGTGGATTAAAAAACAGTGGTACATCTACACAATGGAACACTATGCTGCTTTATAAAAAACACCGTTTGCAATAGCATGGATGGACATGGAGAAAGTCTAGTCAGAGAAAGATAATTATGTGATCTCACTCATTTGTGGAATATAATCAACAGCATAAACTGATGAACAAAAATAGATCCAGAGAACAAAAATAGTTTCAGAGACAGAGAAGCTTCTAACAGACCCTCAAACTCATCGAGGGAAGGCAGGGGAGGCTGGAGGGGATAAAAGATCAACCAATGAACTCATGCGTATATGCATAATCCAAGGACATAGACAATGGGTGGTGAAGGCTTGGGAAGGGGGGGGCAAGGGAGGAGGGGAGCGGGCAATAGGGGAAAAAGGAGACATGTGTAATACTTTAGACAATTAAGAATTAAAAGAGAATGTAATCTTCCTAGTGAGACTGATGACAGCTTAATGTCCCAATCACATTTCTCTACTGGGCAGTCACTGTGCTTGACATGCCCTTTTGTCTCCTTTCATCCCCAGGTCTGCCCAAGCTCAGTTCAGGGGTTTTGTGCTCCAGTCTACATGCACTGGGCAGATCAAAGAGGTGTAGCTTTATTTTCTCTTCATGATTTGATTACTGAGCCTAAAACCAGGTTTGCAAGTTGTCATGCATCTGGCTAGGTTAGACTACTCGAAGCTTATCTTCGAAATCTGATTCTCCCTTGCAGGTGGGTCCTTGGATTTTCTTTTAAGGGAGAAAAATGTACCATATGTTTTCTCCAGTTTACTGTAGTTAACTTTGATCCCCATCAAATCCTCTGTAGTTGAGGTGAATATGTGGAGATAGACATTCTTTCCCTGAACATTTAGCACACTGTAGTACGACACTCAGTAAATATGAGCTCTGCTCACCTCTATTATTCTTCCTGCTTTTCTTGGCAGTTCTCTATGATCCACATTCATTAGGTTTTTCATTAGTATGTTTTATTTAAATTTATTTTTTGTTTAAAGTATTACAAATAGTAGTACATATGTCTCCTTTTCCCCTATTGACCGCCCCCCTCCCTGGCCTCTCCCACACCCTGGCACATGCCCACACACCCCTGGTGTCTGGGGCCATTGGTTATGCTTATATGCATGCATGCAAATCCTTTGGTTGATCTCTTACCTCCCTTACCCCACCCTCCCCTGCCTTCCAGCTGAAGTTTGACAATCTGTTCAATACTCCTTTGTCTCTGTATCTATAGTATGTTTTAAATACTGTTTTCTATTCTCTCTTTGTATGATAATCAAATAAAACAAATCCTTGATCCAATTTTACTTCCTTCTCATTCAAGAAGAAAGACCTTAAGAACAATAAGAAGGTTGAGATGATCTGGAGTGTGGGGGAAGGCATAATAGTTTTTCTCAGATATTTGCAGATATATCCTCTGATACTCCAAAGAAAATAAGGGCCAAAGAATGAGTAATAGTGGAAGGCAGAGATGAGGAATAAACAATCAATAGGGCTGCTTCAAATTTCAATGGAATATCCTTGACACTGGAGAAGTCTACATAAAGACTAAAAAAATAGCTACTTAGGATGTTCTAGAAAAGACCTCAGCATAGAGTAAGGGATTAAAGATGAGAAACTATTCTTACCTATGATCCTATAATTCTAACAGAGTTCTATGAGCTGGGCAAGCACTGTTTCATAAAATGGAGGGAGAGTAACAAATTATGTTACATTGTGTATGATTTTTAATAACTTTCTCATAATAGTTTATAAAATACCTTAAGAGCTGGAACAAAGAGAACACAGAAGCAATCATGTTAACGAAAGGGAAGTTACCTGTCTGGAAAAAGACTCTGGAAATAATGGTCCGACACAGTGGGCAGGGAGTGCTTGCAGGATTGTCTCTGGCAAGAGTCCGTAAGCAGGGCTCACAGAAGATGTGGTGGCAAGGGTAGCACATGTATGGGTTGAAATAAACATCCAGACACACTGCACAGATGTAGCTTTCCTTTTCTTCTACATATTCAATTTCATCATCTGTATTCATGTCATTAGTCAAAGTCTGCAAAACATAAACAAAAAACAACTTTTCTTAGTTCAGCATGAGATTAATTTCCTTGAAAAAAGAGAGACTGACTATATTTTGTTAAAATGAATGAAAATATTTATGAAAAGCATATAACATTTGTTTCTGTGACATATTCAAACTGACAGAAATACTACCTTGTAAAGTAAGAAAAAACTGAAAACATACATGAAAAAAACTCAGAAATCTTCACTATTTTTATATAATGCTAAATGCTAATATATATCTAAGCACATCAAGCACACCTATATCTCTATGTAACCAGCACTAATTACTAAGTGTTAGGTATACCAGATCCAGGATTACAGATTCTCCATCTGTCCTACCCCCACCACAGCATGAAGTTTTATGGATGCAGTGTAGAGAAGTGGTTCAGAGTTCCGGCTGTAAAGTCAAACAGACCAGTGGCTTAAATAAGTTATTGTGACCTTAACCTTATTCAACCACTCTGATCCTCAATTTCCTGGTAAGTATAATGATTGTCTTAGTCTGTGTAGGCTGCTGCTCCTGTCAGACAAGTTTGTTATTTAGAGCTAAAATCACAATAACCTTCTCCACTCGCCTGCTAACTCCCTATCTTTCACAAGCAACCATCCCTGAGCCAACAGTGGTTAAGACCTTTCATACCTTATCATGGCTCACACAAAATATAAAAGCACAAGTGCACATAAACACACTGCTACTTTTATACTTACCAACATATCATGAATGTCTCTATCAGCAGATATTTATCTTTTCCTCTTATTTTTAACCTAGGTACACATGTATTTTATCTAAATAAATTTATTTCATCTTTTCATGTTTTAGCTTCTTCCTTCCTTCCCACCCTCCCTCCTTCCTTTCTTCCCTCCCACCCTCCCTCCTCTCTCTCTCTTCTTGTCTTCCCCCTTCCTGCTCTTTGTGGACTTGCTCTTCCTCCCAGTCTCCTGGTTCCTCTCGGATGCCTGATCACACTCCTTCCATTACTCTGCCCCCATAAAAATGTTCCACTCCTTTAGGCCCCTACTATTCTTCTGATACCTTCACAATACTTCTACATCAAGCATGCTTGTTCTACATATTTCCTCCTCTAGTGCATTTATATAACTGTTGTGGGCATGGACTATGCTTTACTTACTTTTTCTTGATTCCTGGACCTGTAGGGAAGAATGGAAATTAGAACAAATGGGAAAGTGGAAAGGAAATTTGAGTTAAGAGGGAAGTATGGAGAAACCATGGAGAACGTGGATGAGGCACCCGTCAGTCTGACTACACAGGGTTTTTCCAATAAGGAGAAATATTCCTTGGAGAGATAAGGTGGGTTGGTTGCTATTGATCAGAGCTGGGAAAGTGATAGACTGTGGGCTAAAGACAGCCTGCTGCCTGCTTTTGTAAACAATACTTCACTGGAACACAGCATGCTCCTTTGCCTCTGTACTGGGGAGGGCTGCTCTTTGCAGAACTAAGCAGTGGTGACAGAGACTATGATCCGCAAGCCTACAGTAGAGACTTCTTGCTAGACTGAGAAGTTTCATTATGTTCCTGAACACAGCACTGCTAATTTCCCCCTCAATCAATATTTATTGAGTTAATAAGCATTATTTCAGGCTTTCTTAGTCTGCTCAGGTTGCAATAACAAAATACCACAGACTGGGTAGCTTAAACAGCAAACAGTTATTTTTTCTTCTAGCTGGGAACCCAAGATCAGGGTGCCACATATGGTGAGTCCTGATGAAGGTTCCCTTCCCGGCTTGCAGATGGCCACCTTCTCTTAGTGTGCTCACAGGGCTTTCCTCTGTGCACGCAGACAGATCTTTCTTCCTTTTTTTACAAGGCCAGCAAGCCTATGTGACCACCCCCTAATCCCTCCCATTTGACCACATTTAATCTTTATTATCTCCTAAAAACCCCTTTATTATCTTTATTATCTCCTAAAAATCGTTGGGGGTTAGAGCTTCAACATGTGAATTTTGGGAGGACACAACTTAGTACATAGCAGGGATACACAAGGCACTAGAAATACTGCAATGAATATATTAAGCAAGTAAGGCCTAAGAACTAGTTCTTTAAAAAGAAGAAGAGCCGAAACCGGTTTGGCTCAATGGTTAGAGCGTCGGCTTGGGAACTGAAGGGTCCTGGGTTCGATTCCGGTCAAGGGCATGCACCTTGGTTGCGGGCACGTCCCCAGTAGGAGGTGTGCAAGAGGCAGCTGATTGATGATTCTCTCTCATCAATGTTTCTAACTTTCTCTCTCCCTTCTTCTCTGTACAAAATCAATAAAATATATTTAAAAATAAATAAATAAATAGAAGAAAAAAATATATATAAAAGAAAACTCTATTAATATATAATACGCTAATTGTCCATCAGACAAGTCCCTTTAATGAGCATTGACCACCAGGGGGCAGACACTCCAACCAATAGGTTAGCTTGCTGCTGTGGTCTGGCTTTTGGGACTGGGTCAAATGGGCCAGACATGCCTTAGAGCCTCCCACAGTCCCTCCCTGGCCCTGATCATGCACCGGTGGGTCCCTTGGCCTGGCCTGCACCCTCTTGCAATCTGGGACCCCTCAGGAGATGTAGGAGAGCCGGTTTCCGCCCCATCCACATGGGCCAGGCGAGTGCTCAGGGCCTCTAGAATATTTATAAGAATGTGAGTCCTAAGTGGCAAAAAGAGGCAGTAATTAAGGAATGAGATACCAAGGACCTAAACCAGAGTGGTTGCCTTGAACATTTAAGATATTTTGAAACCAAAATTAGCAGGAGCTAATTTTCATTTTGGTAGAGGAGGAGACACTGGTTTTATGAGTAATTTTGACTTTTTTACCCTAAGTCTTGATCATATCTTTTGAGTTCACATTTTTGTTCTGATATGCACTTCTCTGCTTCTTTTGAAGTTTTAAAAAATGAAGTCAAAGATCCTTGTTTCTGGCCTCCAGGCAGGTGAGAAGTCCCATTGGGCTATGAGCTACCCTGGAGAGTGAACACAAGTTTATATATATTTAAAAAAAAAAAAAAAAGCCACTTTTCAGCCGCCAGTGCCAATCCTCACTGCTGACAATCAGTTCCAGATCCACTAAATGCAGCTGCTCAAAACCACAGCCTGTCACTCATTACTTTAGAGAGTAAAGAGTTCTTTCAGTCTTCTCTCTTCTTTACTAAACCTCTTGGGCCTCTTTCCTGCCTTATTACTTCTTCGTTTTCTTTGTATCTTTGCAGCAAAAAAAGCTCTTCCATTTATTGTATATATTATTAGCACCACGCTCTAACCAACCGAGCTAACCGGTTGCTACTGTATATATTAATCAGTGTGTTTTCTGTTCCAAGACCTTGTTATCCATGACCCTTCTTCTCCACTCAGGCAGAAACAGATAATGTTTGACTGCTCAAGGAATGGATGGCACAGCAGTATGTAAACAACAAAGAAATTATTAAATTTTTGGCATTTGATTTTTAAAAGCCCAGGATCCTGAGTATAAATGATAGAATTAAGGAGTTTTTTTTCCTGCTTCTCCTTTCCCCACCTCCTATGCTCAATATATACTAAAGATTCTTTGGGATTTGGGCAGGAATCTGGAGGATCTCTGAGAGAGGACTCTGCTATATATTCACCTAAATTAGAGAATAATGGACAGGACAGAAAATTCCATCAGATTTTGGATTTTGATAGCAGGGAAGCCCACAAACTCCAATCTCTAGAATATAGTTGAAGGTGGAAGCAAGGTCATAGAATTCTCTCACACTTAGACAGAAGGAGCAAAAGATAGCACTGACTTATAGCACTGAGTGGACAGTTACAGTATTGTCAATCAGTCACTCAATACAAGAAAGAAAGTAAAGTAACCATGCAGATAGCTTAGTAGGTGTCAATTATGGTAAATATTCATTCCACCTTTTATTATGCTGACCTAGAAACTGAGGACACATACCTAGGAGGAAAGGAGAGGAAAAAGTCCTGTTTTGATTAAGATTTAGTTTCTAGTCTCCAATAGAAAGAGGGCTCAAAAAAAACCCCTGAATTTACTCAATCATTTATTCATTCACTCAGCAAGTATCCATTACATTTTTATTATGTACAAATAATGTTTAGTTAAAAATACCGAAAATTACATTTCTTGAATACCCAACTTTGTGGACAATGACTCATTCTTAGAATAAATTCTTCCCTCCATCTTTTAACCTCTTCATATAAACTGCAAGTCTGCCTACATTTCTCTATACACCTTATTATATTGCATTTTCCTTATATTTGATATGAAGTTCATGCTATTTACGGAAAAAATTTAGATATTAAAGTTAACAGAAAATAGCAGTAATGAAGAAATGGTACATGTAAGCTACTCTAAATATACAGACATATGTTACAGAATTCTTTTCATTTATGGTTCTTTAAAAAATGTAATTTTTTTATGTCATTGTGTCATAAGAATCTGTATTTCTAGTATAAGAATATAACTTCAAATTTGCACAAATGCATATTCAAAATTTGATAGTTTTGCATTTCTAATATATACTAGCTTCTGTAATTAGCTAGTGACTAATAATAGGAAAGGAACAAAGAGAAGGCAGGATATTATGGATGTCATTTGGGCAGCTTCACCAGGAAGCTGCAACTTCGCACTTCCAGGGAACCACCAGCCCGTTCCCTGCAGATCACTGGGGAAGGGGTCCAGCAAAGGGAAATACTAGTAGATGCACACACAGTAAAACTGTGGGAAGATGCCTGCCAGTCAAAACCGGGATACGGAGACCATTGCCCAGAGTAGGCAGGGCCACTGCAAACCTGCAAAAATTTGAGAATACATAATCCCCTAACCCAGTGGTTGGCAAACTCATTAGTCAACAAAGCCAAATATCAACAGTACAATGGTTAAAATTTCTTTTGAGGGCTACATTTTTTAAACTTAAACTTCTTTCTAACACTACTTCTTCAAAATAGACTCGCCCACGCTGTGTTTTGTGGAAGAGCCATAGTCAAGGGGCCAAAGAGCCACATG